TGAGGTGTCGCGGAAGTTGTAAACTGCTGTCGATCTTGCTGTGACCCCCTAGGAAAAGGTTATGCCCTGCCCTGTATGAGTTATGTTGGTTGACTGTGGAGGAGATGTACCAAAACTTATTTGTAATCGATTGATATATTAAGAAAGATGCTGTACCCGCTTCAAACTAAAATTAAAAAACATTTAATTAAAAAAAAAAAACAATAGGGAACACTGTCCTTTGCACAAAACAGCTTTCTTGTAGAATACACCAGAGTGTTCAAGCAAGTGGCTCAAATTTCTTTGACCAGAACTCCAGCCCAGGGAGCGTCCAGGCAGATGATGCCACAGCCACACTTATTGCCAATCCACTCCACTTGCATCATCCTTCAGACCCACCACCTGCCAAATTCTATATGGGTGCTCTGATGTCAAAGGGCAGCACTGAAACTCAGTTTTGAGTTCACTGGCAATTTCATGCACAAGATTCTGGATACTTTGGGCTCTGTTCTGCTCAATCAAAGCCCTTAGGTCTTTTTTAAAAGGGCCAGAGAAGTCAGTCAGTACTGGAATAGGCGGCTTGTTCCCAATGAGCAAAGGTGAAAGGAACATGCTTGATGACTTGTTTGCACAAGGTGTGGGCCTCCCACTGGTATCCTGCTATCCCCCTGAAAACTCACATCAGCAGCCTGAAGGATGAGGTGTCGTGGTTGCCCATCCCACAGCACTGAGAGGACGTACTCCTGCTTGCCTTGGCTCTCACGCACCAAGAAGTCACCATTGGTCTGCAGAAGCTTCTGTACCTCCACGCGGGGAATGGCGCCATGGTACCAGGTCTGTTGCCCAAGGGGCTTCTGCACCTCAGGGAGCTGTGGCAAAGAGGGTGGCAGCTGTGGAAGAGACAGAAGTTCAAGGCACTTTCTTCAATCATCTTCCTGCATGGGAAGAGGCCAGATCAGGAAGACTGATCAGAAAGTGACTCCTTGATAACTAAGGACAGGTCCACCTCAAGTTACATTTAGAATTGGAAGGGTGACAGAGAAAGAAAAGAAAAGCTTTTAAATACTGTAGGCTTACTCTGGTAATTACAGAGCTAATCAATTTAGGTCCGGGACCACAACAACAAAAAACCCTCCCCCAGATTGCTGCTTCTGAACTAAAACAATTGAGCAGGGAAGCCAGGGTGCGAAACACACACGCACACATATGAACTGAATCCAAAGTCAGAGAAGGGACCTTTACAAATCTCCCAGACCAGAAACAACGCTTCCACAGTTGCACTTGCAGTAGAGTAGGAAGAAAAACCTCACTTTTAAAAACTCAGGGAGGAACCCCTCCTCCTCTCCACGTGGCTGCTTCTGAACTAAAGAAGCTAGCAATTGAGCAGGGAAGCGAGAATGGGAGAGATCAAATGCCAGCCCCCAGGATTTAAGCTTTGGGCTCCCCTTTTTCTTCCTTTCCAGCAAGCAGCAGTTTGGAGGGTCTGAAATTTATGTTTCCTTTCTGCCTTTGCCCAGTTCCCTGCCAAGGAATGCTGCTTCCTTGGCTACCTCTCCTCACAAAGAACCTCTCTTTCTCCTTCCTTCCTACCTTCCCTGCCTGCCCCTTTCTCATTTTCATCTTGAAAAGCAAAGTCCTATACCTAGGTAAGAAAAACCAAAAGTACACATATAAACTGGGTGAAACCAGGCTTAATAGCTGTGACTGTGAGAGGAATCTTGGAGTCTTGGTGGACAACCAGCTAAATATGAGCCAGCAGTGTGCAGCAGCAGCCAAAAAAGCCAATGCAATCCTAAATTGTATTAACAGAGGGATACAATCAAGATCAAGTGAGGTAATAATATCATTCTATAAAGCCCTAGTAAGATCATACCTAGAGTACCACATCCAGTTTTTGTCACCACACTATAAAAAAGATGTTGAGACTCTAGAAAAAGTGCAGAGAAGAGCAACCAAGATGATAAGGGGACTGGAGGCTAAAACGTATAAAGAACGGTTGCAGGAATTAGGAATGGCTAGTCTAGTGAAGAAAAGGACCAGGAGAGACATGATAGCAGNCTTCCATTCTCTGTCCATCGGCTGGTCATAAGAGACCATCCAGACAGAAACCCAATATTTTTACAAATACAACATTATATATATGTGTGTGTGTGTGTGTGTTGATATTAAAAGTCTTAAAATCAGGTAAAAACATACTAATATAAACAAGAAAAAAGAACAGAACTAAAAGAAAGAGAGAGACAAAGAGAAGATAAAGACAGAGAAAGAAAGAAAGAAAGAAAGGATATGGCTTCCAATCTTCTTTGTAGCATATAAGTCAAAATATAAATTGATCACTTTTTCTGAAGTTATATTGTGACTCTCTTCTTGCTGTAATCTATCCTATTCAATCATCAAATCTATACATTTATATTTTTCTGTTTTATGCAGAAAGTCCATAAGGGGTTTCCAGTCAGCAATAAACTTAGATATTATCTTTTGTCTACTCAAACAAATCAACCTGCCCATCTCAGCAAGCTCCACCATCTTCACCAACCATTCATCCACTATAAGTATTTTCAAAGAATGTATTGGATTCTGAAAGCAGAGCAACGGAAGGATTTGCAGGGCAACTAATTATACCGAACACCTGTGGTTTGCCCCCTCTCACTTCCAACCCTCTACCTTCTTGTTTAGGTCTCAATTCTCGTTTCCAGGTATACCTGAGCCTGCAGCATTTGAGCAGTTCCCAACCTTCTTCAGAATCATTTGCCACAGTTTCTGGGTTTTTGCTCAGATTCCCAGCCATGGACTATGCCACGCTGTGCCTTCTGCTCCGCCATAAAGCCCTTTTAGGACTCACCCTTCTCCACAATTTCACGGGTTTGCTGGTTGCTCATACTGGCATATGGTGTGGCACCCAGGCTGAAAGCTTCCCACAGCAGGACCCCAAAGCTCCAGACATCACTTTCTGAGGAATACCGACCTAGGAGGGAAGATTAGCAGGCATGAGCTGGAAGCATGGAGACTGCCCATAATCTTCAAGGAGAGATTTCTGTCAGGGATTAGACAAGGCAATTGCAAGAAGCTCAATATCCATGGCAGCAGCTAAAAATAACCCAGCCAAGACTCCACAGCAGGCCTGGACTATGGCATTTGCAGGGCCAGAAACCATGTACCGTAACTGAGTGCCTCTGGAGCTGTCCACTTCACAGGGATTTGTTTCATTCCACTCGTGGAGGAGTAAATGCCATCCACTTGTTCCCGTGACATCCCAAAATCGCTGATTTTCAGTGTGTTACTTTCCGTCACCAGGCAGTTCCGTGCTGCCAGATCTCTGGAAAGCAGAATCAGAGGCGCCTGTGTCATGCTCAAGTCCAGTTGTGGTCAGGTACTTTTCCAGTAGCCTCTACAAATGGCCATCTTGCCATTTCTCTGTCTTCTTCAAACAGAAGAGAGGGTCTCCTGGCTTTTTCACCAAGGTACAAGGTGACTCACTTCGTCAAATCTTGCTCAGGGTAACCGTGCCCCTCTTGCAGCAACCAGCAGCCTCGGTCATGAGACAGATTGGAAAGGACCAGTTGACATTCCCAGGCAGAGGCATCGGGGAATCCGCTAACCCTATAACAAGGTCCTCCTGACTTGGCCACAGGTTGGGCTGAGCAGACTCACCGGTGGATGCAGTGCTTGCTGGCCAGGTATTCCATCCCTGCGGCAGCATTCTCCATCATTTTCAGGAGCTCCTTGGCTGTGAGCTGAGCCCTCTCATTGCGCAGGAAGGTCAAAAAGTCGCCCCCTGAGGAGGGAGAAGGCAGAGGCTGGGGCCACTCTGGGACAGGAGCATTCCCATTTGTGAAAACTAGTTCAGCTTTTCATCAGCAGAGCTCCCCAGGATCCAGGGGGGTTCAGGTGAGCAGCGGAAAAAAGAGGAGGGGCACCTGGGCATTCACGGAGTAGCCTCTAGCAAGGCAGGTAGAGACAACGTTCTTAAGCCAACATCATTTCTTCCTGTAAAGGTTGGTGGAGGGCAGAATACGGGGTACAAGCTTCAAGAAAGCAAGTGGAGCAAAAGGGCAGACTTACCCTTTACAAGCTCCATGACAATGTAGATTGGCTGCTTCTGAGTACAGACTCCAATGAGTCGCACAATATTGGGGTGGCTATATTGCTTCAGGATCCTGTAGGGGGAGTCAGAGAAGACACAGCTGGAAGGGGACAGATTCAGATCAGGGCTTCTCAGATCCTGGGAAAGGATGGCAGTTGCAAAATATGCAGTGCAGAAATTCAGCACATGCTTCAGAATTGGTAGCACCCTTCTGCGTATCTGTGGATGGCTCGCAAAAGGATTGGGATGCTACAGGAAATTTATCTAGTTGTCAAGATTTCCGTATCCTAATTCCCTAATATCTCTGGTTAAGGAAGACTTGCAAGCAAATTACTGAAGCCTTCACAGCCAACTTTCTTGGACCAGGGGGCCCCTCCTATGCCCACTGCCTCAGATGCTCAGAAGAGGGCCTTCCAGCCTCAAACATAGATAAGCCATGAGATGGCAAAGGCAGGGGATTCCCAGGGAATCACACAGAGGCTCTCTGCTGATCTGCCAAAATAGGCGGAATCTTTGAATGCCTCCCTCCAGGAAACTCCCCAGAATCTGCCTATAAGCTGGGAAAGAGCCAGTCACTGGATAGCCAGTGAGAGAGCTGTGCGTTCTCTCAACTTCTATTGAAAGGAAAATCCTGAACATGTTCTTGGTGTATGTGCTGTGGAGATTGGCTGAAGGCCTCGGATAACAAAGAATCATACATACCCAGCCTCCTGCAAAAACCGGGCCTTCAGCTCATTTGGAAGTGTTTCACGGCAGGATTTCACAGCCACTGGAGTGTTACTGCCACGCAAGACTCCACTGAAGACCTCTCCAAAATTTCCCTGTGGAACAAAAGCCAAAGCCACATAGCACCAGCCCCTCCTTTGGCATGGCAAGGAGTAGCCAAAGGCTAGAAAAGTGGGCTCGAAATTTGCTGCAAACAAGCAAGTTCCTAAACTTCTAAAGAACAGCTGTTGTTAAGTGCTTTCATAACTCACCTTTCACAAAGGCCAACCACCAACCACTAACACAAGATTGCAGCAGAATATAAAGCAATAATTCAAAATCAATTCAATGAAACAACATTAAACCAACACATCAATACATTTTAATCAATACCCTGGAATAAAACATCATATTTATTATTTAAAACAGACCTTCATGCAGAACTAAATAAGCCTTTCCCCTAATCCACAAAAAAGTATTTCAGCTCCTTTGTAAAGTGAAAAAAAATATTTCAAAGAAACAAAGGGTGTGATACCAGAGTTAGGTCCATCCTTAAAGGCTTGTGACCAGGAACTCAAAGGAAAAGAATACATAGGTCAACAAAACTGTAGGGTGAACTTGTGCAGCAGTGAACACAGAGCCCTGGGGCATCCAGAGCAGCACCTGTTGATCTGTGCCCTTTTGGTGAAAGACTGGACAAGGAGCACATCCAGAAGCAGACAACGTCCTTTTCAGGGGCAGGGGAAGGGTGCAAATGAAGATTGTGAAATAAGCTACTGCTCTGAAAGGAAAGTTCTAGGCATGGATGAGGGCACAACTGATCAGCCAGGTGCTTCCTACATTCAGAGGGGTTGCCCTATTGTGATCTCACTCACCTGCCCAATGCGCTGCCCCAGCATAATGTCTTCATGGTCCAACACCCACTTGTCCTGTTGGAAGAGCAGTCCATCATTTCATCCCAAGCACTCTCCAGCTCACCACCACCACCACCACCATTGGGTTCCTACCTTGGGGATGGGCTTGACTAGCACAATACCACTTTTCTTCGTGATGGGTTGCCTGGACTTCAGGAAATGGTCAACCAGCAGCGGAATGGTAGGGAAAGCCTCACCCTCCAAGCAGTACAGATTCTGGGAAAGAGCACCCTGCCATTACTCTGGAGTAGTACAGTTTTTGGGAAAAGTCACTACCCCTTCTATGCTGTTGCTTCCTCTTCTACATTTTCCTTAAAGGAATAAGATTCTCATACCAACCTACAGCCTCCCAAGCCAGCTGGTGGCAGAACTTTATTCCACACTAGACCTAACTTCCTTCCTGAAAAGGAGCAAGAATTGTGGGTTCTAGCAATACACATATACAAGATCACACAGTACACAGCTGGCCCAAGATCATATCCAGCTGAAATTCACAATGTAGAGAATAGGTGTCAGGTTCCTGTTGGAACACTGCCATTCAGAAAGGTAGGGAGGATGCTTCTTGGGGTTGAATGCCTTGAATGCTTTTGCTTCTGCTGTCACCGCATGGGAATTAGACATAGGCCATCAGGATGGATTCCCTCCCAGCCAGTTCTAGCCCAAGGCTGTGGGTCCCCAAGCATAACCTATTATCACCATCCGGCCTCGGAGTTCTCATAACATCTTTGCTGCTTCGTATCAGTGGACATGGGTGGGGGTTGAAAAAAGGGGAAATTAGCTTAACTCTTTGTGCAGGAATCTTCAGACTCCGCCTGACTTATGTGCAATCACTTCTCTCAATAAAAGTTCCTTTAGAAATACCATTTGTTTCAAGAGTCATGCTTTCCTAAGAAGAGGCAGGTCCTTACAATAGGGAACACTGAGAAGAAGGCGGGGCTTAGCAGTGAGAAGATGGAGTTTCAGGCTACTCCTGAAATTCCTCTATACCAAAGGATTTTTNTTAGGCAGATGTGTTAACCATTGAGCTACAGAGCTACATAACAAATCTGTCTAGATAGAATGATGGAGTTAACAACTTCCTCTTGGGCGCTGTTGTACTGTGGCATTCAAGAGAGGGCATCTGCCAAGAAATTTTTCCCCTTGTAAGTAACGAAGGGTGAAATTGAAGTCGTTGAAGTATTGGGCCCACTGAACCTGTTTAGGAGATTTGGGGAGCTTTCAATGCTTCTAGGTTCCTGTGGTCTGTCCATGTCAAAAGGAATCTTACTGCCTTCCAAGAATTGTTTCCAGGTTAGGAGAGCCCAGTGGACTGCATAGGCTTCTTTCTGCCAAATAGCCCATCGCCTCTCAGTTTTGGAAAGCTTGAGGGACGTATAGGTGCATGGCTGCAACTCTCCCTTGGCATTCCTCTGGAGTAGTACTGCTCCTACAGCCACATCACTAGCATCCACTTGTATCACAAAAGGCTCATCCGGGTCAGGGTGTTTTTGGACCAGTTCCAGAGCAAAAAGGCGCTTTAGTTTCCCTAATGCGGCTTGGCACTTGAGTGACCAGTTCAAGGGCTGGCTGGGCATGGGCTTAGCTTCTCCCTTTGTTTTCAGCAGGTTGATGATTGGTAGGGTTATCTGGGCGAATGTGGGGATGAATTGGCAGAAGTTTGCAAACCTGAGAAAACTCTGCAATTGCCTCATTTGTGGGGATTCCCACTCCTATATCGCCCGAACCTTACTGGGGTTCATCTCCATGCCCTCTTTCAAAATTTTATACCCAATGTAGTCAAGGTTGGTCTTGTGAAATTTGCACTTGGATAGCTTTGCATAAAGTTGAGCCTTCCGCAATTTCCCAAGCACTGCTCTAACCAGTTTCACATGTTCTTCCCTGGTCTTGGTATAGATTAATATATCGTTCAGGTATATATATACTTTATTTATGGTCACAGACCAAAACACGAGTACTACAAAAGAGACATAAGAGAATTGATCATAGCATCATAGCAATCAGTCACCAAAACCTTAACTAAGGGAAGTTACAGCGTGCTCCTCTAATTGTTACAGCTCTTAAGAAAAATTTGGAAACCTGAGAGGTGATGTATGAGGAGCCATCTCCAAGGCAATGTAGAAACAAATTACAGCCATTAGGTCTNAATGTCCATTCTTGAATAGTAGGCAAATCTTCCTTCTTCCAGTGTTGCACCACCAACAGCCTTGCTGCAGTTATTAAATGCAAAATCAAGTTAGTCTCTATAACTGTTCAATCAGTAATTATACCTAACAGGAATAACTATTCTAAACAGCAGACCTAATGTTTAGGAGTGTTGCTAACTTTGGTTGTGTTTTTTTTAAAGCACTTCTTTCCAGTTAAACTAAACTAGAAAAGTTTGATCCAATCTTCTTAATCAGAAACCCTTGTAAGCCATCTTGAACTTGGATAAATTGAGCAACTTTGCAGGAAATTTGTCGTTCTGTTAGACTGAGAAAGACTTTCCATTAAGAGGGGTAGCATGCATTTTGTTCACAAGATTCTTCTTCTGAAGAAGAAATATGAATGAGTGAGTCTCTCTCTCTCTCTCTCTCTCTCTCTCTCTCTCTCTCTCTCTCTCTGTGTGTGTGTGTGTGTGTGTGTGTGTGTGTGTGTGTGTGTGCATTTTAAAATTCCCCTCCAGTTTTTTGTTGAAGCACTTTCAAGTGTTAGCTTTGGGAAAAACAACAGAAACCTTTTTGAAAACGAGTCTCTTTTCGCCTCGTTTTCCTCAAGTTGTAAAAGAGAACTTCAAATTTACCTCAGCGGGCCTTTTAGGAGGTATAGAATAAAACTTTATTTCCCCTCCTCCCTTTTTTTTTTTTAAAAAAAATCCACCTCTGTTTATGCATTGCCTTTCTTGTTTTAATACTCCACTTTAGTAATTCCCATGGATTTTCATCTGCGTTTTGTCTAAACGTTCAGAGCCGTTTTCAAGGACGACTCTTTAAGATATTTTAAGCTGCGGCAAAAATTTCTGGCAGGTTAAGAGGTTCGACTGAGAAGCCCCTGATTTTTCTTTCTTCTCTCTCAGCTTTAAGGTTTGAAATATTCTACTCGGGGGAAATGTATGCATCATTCTGGAAGCATTACGGGAAACTCTTAACAGTGAGTTTGTCGCAATCTTGTCATCAAATTAAACCGTCTTTCCAGAAACACAAGCAAAGTTAAGCACCGGGCTTCATAAAAAAAAATTGATTAAAATCTCAGCAGCAAAATGTGCGTGTTGCATCAGAACTATCTCTGCTTTTAATGACATCCCAGTTCAAAATCTCCCTTTGCTTTCCCCTTTTCTTTAAAAAAAAAAAACCACACATTGAAAATGTACAGATGATTCTAAGATTGAACTATTATGCTTCAGGATTGCAAGAGCTGGAACTTTGTGGGCAGGTTCGGTTGCTGAAAAATTCATCTTGGCCATATGACAAAAGGTCAAGGCAATTGTCAAATGGGACCGTGGGCAGGAAATGATAGCATCCTTCTCTTTCATATCTCGGCGAGGCATTGGGTAGCGAATCGCTCTCCAGCTCATAAGGAAAGTTGTAGAAAGGTTATTTTGTAATTTAAATGAAGCTTTGAAATGGAATAAAGGTTTTTTTAAAAAAAAATGTACGCGTGCTTTTCATCAGAGATTGAACTGAGAATTACTAGATTCATCTTTTTTCATATATGGATGTGGGAGAATTGCCAGCAAGGCTGAAGGGGGGGGAAGGGAGGGGTCAGGGCCAAACTTGGAGTCATTGCACAACCACAAACGGCAAATCTCTATCATAGTTGCTGTTCCGACCTAGGCTTCACAAAATCACAAAGTTCCCGACAAAACCCCTTTTGATTAGGCTAATGTGAATTCCACTCATTCACATCCAGCAAAGTCCCAGCAAACAGTCTTTCCTGGGTGAATTTACAAGCACAGACCTTATCAGGCTTGGAGAGCTGCCAGGCTGATACCTTCCAAATGCAACGCTGTGCAATAAAATATTTGGCAAGGAGTCTCTGAAAGTCACAAACAAATCTTCATATTCATGAAAGGAACTAATTGTCTCCTGCAAACTCCACTCCCCATTCGCTCCTCTTTTATTCCCTAGTCTTTTAGTTTGCAGTGTTTGTTCTTGAGCAGCCAGTATTAAACCTTCCGTTTCTTTCTTGATGGTTCCCATCTTAAGCCATGTCCAGGTCAAGTTGTCATCACATTTTCCTTCAAAGTTTTCCAAGTGCTGTCCATGCAAAGCTTTGGTTTTCCATCTATTTAATCTGTCATAATCTGTTCTTCTTCTTGTTGTTGTTGTTATTGTTATTTATTGGTAGTGGTAACACAAAAATTGGAATTTGGGAGTAAGGTTAGAAATTCAGAGGGCAGATTGGGAATATAAACTAAGAAAAAAAAATTATCAGGGGAATTTTGCTACTTCCACATGTTCAAGAAGAATTTTATCCGAAGGACTCGGAGGACAATTTAAAAAAACTTCTTATGTGTGTTATCATAGCAGTCAAATAAATAACAATCCCCAACTAGAGGACTATATATGTTGCATTTATGTGTACAGAAGTGTTAGCAGAAGCAGTCCACTGATAATTTTTTTTTCTT